CTATTAAAGTCTCCCAAGTCATTCTTTGAATTGTATTGACTACACCATAGTATGATGCTTTTCTTCAAAGCCTAATTTATTACAAATACTTCAAGATGGGTACAATTCCATTTGAATAAAAATAATCAGCAAAGTGTAAACAGACTTTCTGCATAATCAGATTCGCCCACTAAGCTCTCATATACCCAACAACTGAAATAGCGTCAGTGAGGCAGTTAATTCTAAATAAGATCTGCACTTAAAATAGAATATCAAAGTTCTCCTTTCTAACGCCTCCAACTTTTGAATGCTGTACTTTGCTACCGCTATGTTTCCTTACCCTTCTCACTGTGTATTCATTAAACAGCAGCAGAGTAAAATCAAAATACTAATCAAACCCAGTGTGTACACCAGCGTACTTGTTACCCTGCATTCTACTGAACACATCATGAATCCACTTATAAAACAGGACACACAGCCAGCTCCCTGAGACATACCAATGAACTTAAACGAACAACAAAAACTAACATATATTTGGAATGTGGCTCTTTTCTAACCAAAAGCTAGTTGACCATTTCAATATTTCTGTATTAAACTGCAACTAATTGACTTTCTGTGCAATAATTATGATTCTCCCCATAAATAAGGCCAGGGAGGAAGCTGAGGAAGTCAGAGACCTTTTAAAACAGTATTTTCCTGTAACAGTTTCACCTTTGGTGACTTGATTCAGAGAAAAAAAAAAAAGCTAAGTTATTCATAAGAAAAAAAAAATCACTGGAATTATTGCTTAGCTCATAAACAAAATCAAGTGATCCCATACTCAAGCAGCGGGTGAAAAAACAAGTCCTTTAGAGATAGCCATGAATCTGCATCTGAATATGTATGGGACCAGTCACTGCATTTCATGCGACTTGGAAAAATACACTGACAGTACTTAGGTTGGTCTCTGATACCAAGAAAACAGATTGCAGTCTAAATATAAACTCCTCCTGATTTTTTTGTTTGTTTGTTTTGTTTTGGGGCTGCACCTGGTGATGCTCAGTAATCACTCTTCGCAGTCTCAGGGGATCATATGGGGTACCAAGATTGAACTCAGAACTAGGGTTGCCTTCATGCAAGGCAAGCATCCTACTTACTGTGTACTATTGCTCCTCTTATTTTAGACCCAATCTCAGTCCCTGACAATCACTGATATACTAGGCAATAGAATCAGATCACTGCACTGCACTGTAGCACTGTCCTCCCATTGTTCACCGATTTGCTCGAGCGGGCGCCAGTAACGTCTCCATTGTGAGACTTGTCACTGTTTTTGGCATATCAAATACCTCACGGGTAGATTGCCAGGCTTTTCCATGGGAACGGAATATACTCGGTAGCTTGCCAGGCTCTCCAAGAGAGGCAGAGAAATCAAACCTGCGTTGGCTGTGTACAAGGCAAATCAGATCATCAATATTAAATGTGGTTTGTATATTCATAGGACAATGTAAGTCTCATCAATCAGATTACAAGTTATAGGACAAATATTTACAAGTACATGTGGAGAAGTCAGGAGTCATGTTACTTTCAAGTCTGAAGCTTTCTTAGGAACAGGAAAAAGGAAACTAAACAGCATGCAAGCACACTATCTTCCATAATGAGAAGTATTTAAAATTAAGGGGACAGCGCAATAGTACAGCAGGTAGCATGTTTGCCTGATACACTCAGCCAACCTGGGTTACAGTCTCCAAAATCTCATCTGTCTGCTGAACACTGCCAGGAGTGATTCCTGAGTGAAGAGCCAGGAGTAACCCCTGAGCATCTCCAGGTGTGGCCCAAAAAACAAACAAACAAACAAAATAATATGGCTATAAACTAAGGAATGAACTAGAAGGCAAGTTCTATAATTTCTAAACTTGTTAACCTTAAGCTGTACACATAAAGTATCACACTGGTAAACTTTAAACATAGGACACCAGAGCTGGAGCGATAGCACAGCGGCTAGGGCTTTTGCCTAGCATGTGGCCGACCCAGGTTCAATTCCCAGCATCCCATATGGTCCCCTGAGCACCACCAGGGGTAATTCCTGAGTGCAGAACCAGGTGTGATGCAAAGAGCAAAAAATAAATAAGTAAATAAATATAGAGCACAAAGTGAACAGAAAAATAAGGATCACAGGAAAAAGATATAAACCGTATCTCCACAAAATGCCACAACCATTTCTTTCAGAAAAGATACGAATCATTTTCAATTATTTGCTAAATTAAATATTAATTCAGACTTGTATCTAATGGGAAAAACAGAGACTAAACCACTTTTAAAATGGAAAAAGAGGGGCCAGAGAGATAGTGCAGCAAATGGCTGACCTGGAGGTTCAATCCCAGCACCCCTTTAGTCCCCATGCATCATCAGGATTAATTCCTGAATGCAGAGCCAGGAATATCCCCCTGAACACCACTGGGTATGCCACAAAAAACAAAGGGATCAGACCAACAGCACAGTGGTAGGGCATTTGCCTTGCATGCAGCAGACTTGGGTGGCATCCCATATGGTCCCTGCCAGGAGTGATCCCTGCTACCAGAGCCAAGAGTAACCCCTGAGCACTGGCAGGTGTGTCTCCTAAACAAACAAAAATTTAATTTTAAATAAAACAGAAAAAGACATGTGATATTCTTTTGTTAATATATAAATCATAGCATATTGTTTTATATATTGTATTGCATATAGGCCTACTTTAAAGCATAGGTTTGGGCCAGAGATGTGACTCAGTGGCAAAATGCATGCCTCAAATGCATGCCTGGGTTCCATCCCCAGTACTGAGAAGGAAGGAAGGGAAGGTGGGAGGAAGGGAAAGGTTTCTCCACCATACCTTCTACCTAAACATAGTATGATTTGAGTGTGTAGCAAATACTGGAGAAAAACTGGCCCTTAGATTACCAAAAAGAGATGTAGAAAGCAAGCAGACTCACCTAAAAGACAACACTTCCTTCATTCTGCTTGCTTACAGCCTGAGTTTCTGAGCAATGAACTTGTCCATAGATCTCTTAGCTCTGAGCAGAATGGAAGCTCGGGAGGTTTTCCTACTCTCCCATCAGCCATCAGCCACCATTAAGAACTGCACATTGACGGGACACTTAGGACCTAAATCCTTTTAACAACTGGTAGGCCAAAACAATGAAGCTTAAGAAAATTCAAATTTCAATCAAGTTCCTTCCAGGTAAAACATTTTTCCACACACTTCAAATAACTGCTACATGAAAATTTTTATAATTAGAGAACTGAAAACAGGCATTAGGGATATATAAGAAAAGTATAGATAAGACCGTATGACCAAAAGTACAGAGATGGATAAAAAAAAAAATGTGTTACAGGCTGGAGCAATAGTACAGCAGGCAGGGCACTTGCCTTGCATGTGGCCGATACTACACTCTATATGGTCCCCAGAGACCCATAAGAGTGACCCCTAGATGCAGAGCCACCTGGAGCACTGCTGGAGGTGGCCCAATCCCCCAAAAAAAGTATAGGTTATTACTAAGTTCTTTTTGACTGGAAAACACAAAAAGAAAAAAGGCAGAAAGACACTGGAACCATATTGTTCCCCCACCTCAGTGTAAGACTTTTACATTGGGGCTAAGAGAGTAGAGTGGGCAGGGTGCTTGCCTTGCACACAGATGACCCAGGTTAGATCCCTGGTGACCCATGTGTTCCCCCAAGCCCTGCCAAATACAAAAGAAAAAAGCACTGGTATAAATCCCTTGAGAATTTGGGTGAGGCATATGAATTAAAAACATTTGAAGTCTGAATTCAATTACACATAAGAGAAAGTGTAGTTTTGTTGCTAGAAGGAAATGGAATCAATTTAGCATAAAGAACTTGGGCCTCTTCATGAGTTACCTTGTAACAGTAGCAAAGATACAACTTACCTAATTTCCTCAGGGACAAGAATAATGCCTATCTGTGGCTTAATTATCACCTTCTTATCGAAAGCATTCTGAATTAGCACCTTGTTCCAAGGCAACCTGATGTTAATAACATCATTTAATTTCAATTTTAATGTCATTTATTAAGCACTTACTGTGTGCCTGGTATCTTATGTACTTCACATGGATTATACTGCAATACATTTTATATCTAGCAAAGAGTTTACAGTATTTCCAATTTATAATAAAAGGAAGATGGGGGCTGGAACTATAGTACAGCAGGTAGGGCATTTGCCTTGCACTCAGCCGACAAGGGTTCGATTCCCAGCATCCCATATGCTTCCCCAAGCACCCACAGGAGTAATTCCTGAGTGCAAGGCCAGGAGTAACCGCTATGCATCCGTGGGGTGTGACCCAAAAAGCCAAAAAAAGAAAAAAAAAAGGAAAATGAAGATGGGCTGGAACTCTACTACAGTAAATGTAATGGAGTAGGGCAAGTTGGCAGTTGGCAGTTGCTTTCGACGCGGCTCACCAAGGTTGGACCCCTGCATCCCATATAATCCCATGAGCTCTGCCAGGTATAAGCCCTAAGTCCCGTGGAAAAGAAAAGAAGGAAAATAAAGAGTACCATATGTTTTGTTTTTTAAAATAAGTTAACTACTACACTAATAAATTCATATGAAGTTACATAAATGTTTAAAGAATTGCAATAAAACCACACACACGCTTGATCAAAAAGGATGACGTTGACTAAACATTCTGCCAAACCTGAGGATACAGAAAACAGTAATGAGCACTGAGTACTGAGCACTGAGTACGGACTGAGCACTGAGTACAGAATATCCTCAAGAGAGTATGCATCCACTATCATAATATCCAAGACACAAGCCATAACCATGTCTTTCAATTTCCCCTAAAAACAGAAAGAACAAAATAGCAGCTGTGAAACTGACTACTAAAAAAAGCTCAGCATCTCTTGAGAAAAAGAAAAAAAACTATCTCTTAATCAGCAAGGCATGCCCAAAAATGACACGTCTGCACCGACTAGTCATTTATGGTGGGGCAGTATTCGAGATCCTCTGGAACAGGATGCCAGTCGCTGTCATGTGGCCGAAATCCAAGGCGTCAGTGACCCTCTTCACGTGAGCTCACTTTCTCCGGCAGCACAAGGCCGGCTCCCGGGCAGCCCAGGCCCACCAGGGCACGCACCACACCGCGCACAGTCCGCACCCGCACCCGCACCTGCACCCCGCGGCACCCCGCACCAGGATGCGCCCGCCTGCGTCCAGGTAAGGTGGACCGGACCGCGCCGGCAGCAGGAAACATTTCCAAGCCGACAGATGCGGGAACTGAAAAAGGAGGTCACGATGCTGAGAGAATAGATTTAACCCTTTGGTCACTAAGAATCGTGAAGATGAAGGGGGGGGTTGGAACCCTGGGATGGGGGGGGTCATTCATTCATTTATCTATTTATTTATTGATTGATTTTTAGCGCTGCGGGTGGCGGGAAGGCCCCCGAGTCCCGCGCCCCGCACCCCGGGTCGTGCCTGACCGCCCCCTCTGCCCAGCTCTGCGGCTGCACCCCGCACCTCCACCACCCCGGACCTGCGATTCTCCCCGGCTTGGTTTCCGTCCAGGGTTCCAGCCCGCGGGCCCGTGATTGATCATCCAAACGCTGCGGATTCCCGCGCCCCTCCCGCGGCCGAATACATATATCCCGAGGCGAACTTTTAGGCGCACCCCCCGCCCGCCCCCTGGCCCCGGGCTGGCCGCGTGCCGGCCGCTCCCGCGTGCGGAGGCCCGAGGGCCCGCGCCCCCGCGCCGGGGCCTGCGGGGGGCTGCAGACAAAGAGGCTGCGGCGCCGCCGCGGCCGCCAGGACCGTCCCCTCGGGGACAGCTCCGCGCCCCCCCCGCCCCCCTCGCCCCCCCACCCCGGCTCCACGCGCCGCCGCCGCCGCCGCGCCTCACCCGAGGTTCCCGGGCCGCGTCCCCCGCGCCCGTCGCTGCAGCCGCCCAATGAACAATGGCAGGAGGAGGTGCCGGCGTCCGAGGCTCGGGCCCTCTGCGGCTCGCGGGCCCGCCGGCTGCTGCTGGCGGGCGGACCGACTGACTAACCCAGCCGCCGAGGGAGGGAGCGAGCGAGCGAGCGAGCGAGCGGCGAGGGAGCGAGCAGGCGGCCCGGCGCGCGCCCTCCCGCCTTCCCTCCGCGAGGCGAGGCCGGCCCGGCCCGCAGCCAGCCCGCCCGCGCGCGCCCCGCCCCTCGGCTTCGCCACAACATTGTAGTAGATTTCTATTGGTCGGCGCGGGCGCGGAGGAGGGGGCCGGGCCCGCGGCCCGCCATCCCATTGGCTGAGGCCAACTTTGGGCTCTCCGGGCCTTACCCCCTCCCCCGGGCCGGTCGGGAGCTGGGGGGAGAAGGAGGGGGGGTGGAATAGAAAAGGGGGGCAGAGGCGAAGGGGCCCGGCGCGTGTGCGCAAGCGCATGCGGCACACGCTCCCGGCCCGGACAGACCCGACCCCTGCCGCGTCCACTTGAGAGAAGGAGGCGTTCTGTTTCCTGGACCGAGGCGTCCCGCCTGTCGGAGTGACCGGGTGGGAGACCGAGATTTAGAACCCCCAAGGAAAGCGGAGGCTGCAGCTTGAGCAAGTGCTCGGGTAAGACGCTCGCCTTTTCCGGGCCTCAGTTTCCCTTTTTACTGACTTGGCCATCTCTAGGTGCTGTTCCAGTCTGACACTGGATGAGACTTTACCTTTCCCGGCAGCGGTGCCAGACCTGATGTGGAAGCTGCGGGATGCGGCCATGGAAAGATATCACCTGTTTCCTGCATGGAGGGGCTTGTGCCCGGAAAAACCATAAAGCCCTAGGCTCCACTGTCTGCTCCCCATCTCTGACAGCAGGGTGTGCCCTGATTGCCTTTTAGACATTTCCGAGGCCTCTGCCATGCTCACTGTCAGGCTGGTTTCCAATCAGGCTGAAATCCCAAAAAGCAGAAGGAAGCCTCCTGTAAGGTGAGTTGAGTTCTGGTATTCCCGTTTTAGAAAGGAAGAAACTGAGGCAGAGGGGCTTAGACGTGCCATAATAAGAAGCTGGACCATCTGCCACCAGAGCGGGCTCATACCAACTAGACTGTTTCCAGATATCTAATCAGCTCAGCCTCCACCAACAGACTACCTGAGTTTCTTCTCAGCCTCCAGTCCTCCATAATTAATTGTGTGGACTTCTCCAGGCTGGTGCCCAGCCACATTAAAGGGCATTATAACAGTTCATGCCTCACAACAGTTATTGCTGAGGCTGGAGCAATAGTACAGCAGGTAAGTTGCTTGCCTTGTATTCAGCTCACCTGGGTTCAATCCCAGGCATCCCATATGGTACCTCAGCCCCTCCAGGAGTCATTCCTGAGAACAGAGTCATAAGTAAGTCCTGAGCACTGCTGGGTGTGGCCCAAAAACAAAACAAAATTATTGAGGGGCCAGAGTGATAGTACAATGGGTAGGGCACTTGTCTTGCCCTCAGTTGACCCAGGTTCCATCCCTGGCATGCCATATGGTCCCCCAAGCACTCCAGGAATGATTTCTGAGTGCAAGGCCAAGAGTAGCTCCTACGAATTGCTGGGTGTGACCCTCAAAAAAGAAAAATTCTCATAAGAGTGAAATGAATTCAGATCTGACGATGTAGCCAGGGTGGAATTGTTCTTTGTGTACAAAGTCCTGAGTTCCATCCACACACACAAAATATATATATATATGTAAAGAACTTAGAATAGTATCTAGCTCATATTAAGATCTACGTAAGTATTCATTATTACATCTTAAATCTCATGGTATTATGTATTTCTACTGACCTTCATCTATATATTTATTGTCCTTCCCAAATCAATTGCTGCAATGCTGAGCCCCTAGACTTTGAGCCCTGGTGGGTGAGGTCTTTTGTCCTGCTTCTTCATCTCCCAATGTACACTCAATAAATGCTTGTTTGAATGAATGAATCATCCCCCATTTATTTATCAGTTTATGTCTGCAGTACTAGGGCTCAAACCTAGGGGCTTACAAAATTTGAAGTACACACGCTACCCCTGAGCCACTTTCCCAGCTCTGTGTCTGTTTCATATAATAGGAAGCTGAGGACTTAGCCAGGACAAGTAACTTGGCAAAGCTTGTTCGGTGGGCCAGAGGTGAAGTATCTGTTCTTGAATACTCTAGATCCCATCCTCAGATCCTGGGGTTCAGTCTTGCTTTCGATGAAGGAAATTGTGGTACAATCTCTGTACTTCAGAGGCATTGTTTTGTGTTTTTTTGGGGGGGAGGGCAGGGAGGCAGGTGCTTCCCAAGCAGTGTTTAGGAGCTGGGGATCTCCCTCCCAGAGATCATCCAAAGACTTTCTTCATCCAGCAGACATGGAGGTAGCATGCAGGATAAATCCTGAAGAGCAATCACCAGGTTCATCGCTCTCGCCATGTGATCCAGCAAAATCAGTCGTGAAAAACAATATTTTTATGCCTTGAACATCTTTTTTTTTTCATTTTTTGGTCACATCCAGCAATGCTCAGGTGTTACTCCTGGTTCTGCACTCAGGAATTACTCCTGGCGGTGCTCAGGGGACCATATGGGATGCCGGGGATTGAACCCAGGTTGGCTGCGTGCAAGGAAAATGCCCTACCCACTGTACTATCACTCCAGCTCCAAACATCATCTTTTAAGCCAATGATACATGACTTTTTATTTATTTGTTTGTTTGTTTGTTTGGGTCCACATCTAGCAGTGTTCAAGGACTATTTCTGACCTATACTCTAAGATCATTCCTAGCAGTGCTCTGAATTTGCTCTAGGTGGTGCTTGGGGAACCATATGTGGTGCTGGGGATCAAACCCAGGCAAGCACCTTATCCCCACACATCATGGTTGGATACTTTGAGTGTGTAATATTTGGAGGGAAATTGGGTCACACCCAGCTGTGCTCAGGGCTTACTCTTGGCCCGGTTCTCAGGAATCAATCCTGGCAAGGCTCAGGAGACCATATAGGGTGCGGAGAATCAAACCCAGATCAGCCGCCTGCAAGGTGAACAGGTAACACATCATCCATCAACTGTTAGGCTAAGCGTTGTACTATCGCACCAGCCCCAAAGTGTGTGGTATTTAATAATCATCACCCTGAAAAAAAAGAGTAAGGGGTCTCAGGCTAGTAGAGAATGGCTGGAGACAAAACAGGTATAACCAACCTTAAGGGCCGGCAGGTAGTACAGCAGGTAAGGCACTTAGCTTATACACAGCAAACTGGGTTCAACCCCCGTGTGACATATGGTCCCCCAGCACTGCCAGGAGTAATCCCTGAAGCAGTCAAGAGTACCCCAAATACTAAGCCCCAAGCATAACTGAGTATGGCCCAAAACACAAAATAATAAATCTTGAAATCAGAGAATCTTGCACTACACCAAAAACTATTGGCACAGGCTCTGGAGTCTCAAAGACCCAAATTCCAGCACTAATTTTTTTTTAATTCTCAGCTGAGAGAGAAAGATAGCTAAAGGGGCTGGGTTCATGCTTTCCATGCAAGAGGCCTGGGTTAGATCTGATCCCATCCCTAAACATGATCTCCCAAGCACCACCAGGAGCGGCTCCTAGGTACAGAGCTGCTGGGTGTGACCCCACACACACAACAAACAAAGAAAAACACAAAAAATATATAAATCAGGGGCCAGAGAGATAGTACAGCGAGCAGGATGCGTGCCTTGCACACAATCAGCCCAAGTTTGATCCCCAGACCCCATGTGGTCCTATGAACACGATTAGGAATGATCCCTGAGCACAGAGCCAGGAGTAAGCTCTGAGCACAGCCAGGTGTGGCCCCAAAAGCAAATATATGTCAGGGATTTATGAAGTACTACATATGCCTGAAAGATTTTTTGTTATTAATTAAGTTATACATTATCAACTGTTAGGCTAAGTGGCCAACCCTTAAGTATAGTTGAGATCAACACATGTTGGGAAGGTGGATGTGGGGAGCAGAGTAAGTAACGGAGACTCTGAAGGCAGAGATACTGCCTGACCCAAGTATCACTTGTCCTCTCACAAAGGCCTCTGCAAACCCCTACCCACTTCCACTTTCCCTGCAGAGACTGCCATGGGTACCAATGGTGAAGGACCCAGGCACCATCCCAGGGGCTAATTTCCTAGGCAGACACAGCTCCAAGCTCACATCTGGGGCGTGGTTATGCCGTGCTCTAAGCCCCTGGACAGGGTCTCTAGGGCTCATCTCTATCTCGCCTGCCAGCTGAGCCCAAGAAGGTCTCCTCTATCCCCTCCCCCCACCTTCCTAGGGAATACCAGCCCTCCTAGCTGCTGTCAGCCCTGGAGCAGTCAAGGGCACTAAAGGGGGGATGGGGAAAAAAAGACTAGCATGAAAGGAGCCTAATCTTTCCCCCTCTGCAAACTGAGCTTCAGCAAAAGCAAATAGCAGCTGCTTGAGGAGGAGGGTGAAATTAGAAGGTGACCAGCAGGGAAGGCCAGGGAAGAGAAAAGGGGGCTTCCAGTGACCTGGAAGAGATGAGATTGGAGAAAATGCTAAAAAGCTACTGGAGGGAACAGCTAATGGAGTCCGAACCATTCCCATATGTGGGGCATTGGGTGGATTAGGGATTCAGCTGCCTCACAGTAATTGGACTCAAAGAAAACAGTCTCTTGTGGGTAGAAGGTGTGGGTGGTAGGGGCTGGAGTCATAGTACAGAAGGTAAGGCGTTTGCCTTGCAAGTGGCCAACCCGGCAAAACCAAACATCACCAGGAGTAATTCCAGAGTGCAAAGCCAGCCAGGAGTAATCCCAGAGCATTGCCAGATAGGCATGTAGGTAGAGTGCACCAAAAGAAAGAAAGAAAGAGAGAAAGAGAGAGAGAAACAGAGAATGAGAAAGAAAGAAAGAAAGAAAGAAAGAAAGAAAGAAAGAAAGAAAGAAAGAAGAAAAAGAAGAGAAGAAAAAGAGTAGAGGTGGGAAAAGGAATGAAGGCCTTTCAAAGCTGGGCCCACAGACAATATTTGGATTAGTCACTATTGAGTAAAAATTGATCCCAGTACCAAAAGTATTGGAAGAGTAGAACCTTCCATCCTGCCCCTGGTCACAAAACTACAGTCATCATAGACCTTTTAAACACAAATGATAAATCAAACACTATAACTGGGTAGGAAAATTACTGTTTACACAATGATGTGCCTTTCTAGGAGATAGTTTTTAGGAGTACTAGAATTGTTCATAGAAAACAGCAATATAAGAAGAAAAATATTTACATTACCATAAACCATCAATCAGAAATAATCACCACCAGTAATTTAATGGAGGCTTCCTTCCAAGGACAAAGTATC